GCCGAGTGAGGGCTCGGTCACCCCTGAATGGGACCCCAGTGCTGGGGCCTGAGCATCTCCTGTTCGCTGCCAGCCCAGGGCAGAGACTGGACGGGCCGGACAGTCAGTGAATGCCACCGAAAAGGGGGTAAAGCCCCAGGGACTGCCGGGCACTGCTGAGATGGCAAAGCCAAGGCGTGGGAGGGATGACACGTACGAGCACGTTCCTGCTGCGGGCGAAGGAGCCTGGCCTGGGCACATCGCCTTGAGGAGATGTCAGGGATGATTGTTCTGTGCTTGGAGTACAGGCCAGTGTGGTGGGAGGTGAGGCTGTCACAAATTGTCTGTACTCCCTGGAGTGGGGGGAGGTGGGTGCAGGGAGCCCTTTGTTTTCATAGGGTCTGGGAGATTGTGTTTATTCAATATATTGAAGATAATAGGGGATCCGTTTCCTTTCCTGGTCTGGGTAAGGTTTGTTATAATATCACTCTGTTTTGAGACAGTGTGTGATGCAGTGTGGCTTCTCCTGGGAGTCCTGAGTTTCTTTTTTCATTTTTGGTTTTTGAATATGGTGGTTATATGATTATCTGTGCTTCCTCACACATGATCAGGCACAACAGAACGAGCAGGAGTGGGCCCAGACTGAAATGGAGGCAGGGGAAAGCTGCAAACCAGTGATGAGACTGAGTGTGGGGTAGAGAGCTGGCTGAGGAGGGGTGGGTGGCTGGGTTCCTTCACTGAGGAAAAGCTCCAGGCTTTGCCAGAAGTGAGGTCAGCGTTGGCAAGCAGCTGTGGCAGCTGGCCAGCAGCTGTGAGGTGTAGCTATGAAGTGCACTCACCTTTGGATATGGGTTGTTGGATCCAAGCTGATTGCTCCCGTGGCCCTTCCTCTGCAGAGGGTCATTCTCCTCCAGGCTAAATGCTGATCCAACTGTTACAGTGGCTGAACAACACATTCCTTGTCTTTAGGAAAAAAAAAAAGAGAGGAAGAAGATGACCTGAGGGAGTCTAGACCTACTCTAAATGTGGATTTGGGGTTTAAGGCCAAGCCTTCTTAAAAGGTTCAGGGGGATGTGCTTTGTTAGCAGACTAATGCCCCAACAGTGACTCTTGGCATTCTTGCTGCTCTGCCCACCCTGCTTTAGGCTGCCCATGCTGGGCTAGTCATTGTCCCCAGGGAAGGCTCTGGAGCAGCATGAGCCATGCTGGAGGGGCTGTGGGATCTAACCATGGCTCTTGGTGGCCAAAAAGCTCTTGAGCCTAGGGTGGCCCTGACTCTGCCCTAAGCTGGCTTCTGGAGTAGGCACAGCCAGGACTACAGGCTCCCCATGGGGGAGACAACACCACAGCAACTGCCTGCCCTGCTGGAAATTGTACCTGTTAAATTTAGCATGGAACCTGCTGCAAGGTGGCATGTCAATAAAAAATATGAATTGCTGACTCTGACACTCCCACGCATGAAAACTGACCTTGGGAGATGATAAAATGCAGCTGTACTGAGGAGTGACCTAATGAAATTTGACTTTAGTTATTCTAGGCTTTATTCAGCTTTTGATAGCTGTTTGCACTGCACTAACACTGTTGTGGCTATCTTCTTCTCCTGCCAAACACCTTGGGCTTGGGCATGTGGGACTTGGTGACCCCTTCCAGAAGGCTGTGAAGAAAGCAAAATTAATTCCAGCTCAGTACATCATGTCATTTTGTTTTTCTTTTGTGGTTTATTTTTCTTTAATTTCATCTGCTCCAAATTTGGTTACGCAGAAATTTCCGCTTCAACCCAATCTGTGAGCTTTTGACAGACAGGCTTATTTAAGACCTACAGCTGGAAGAAGTTTTTGCCGTCGGCACATTATATACAGCCAC